ATCAGTGTTGCAGTAACAAGAACAACGCTGTTGTGTAACCATGCCTTCAAATACACACTTAAGTACATGCACTTTGTGACTACCAAAAACAAAACACGTAACACTTCCCCATTTTCTGCCCATGATGTTGCTACTACATGAACCTTGTTTTCAGCAGATGTTGATACAAGGCAGAGAGGTTGGTGAAAAGATGGAGCATTTTCCAGATGTCCTTTATTTAACATATGACTAGTCGTGATGCTCTGCAGACTGAAACCAGATACCTTAGTAGAGCAACGGTCTTTCTCGAACCAAGAAAATGTTCCTTTAGCTACAACAGTAGATGGGCGTGTTTATGTAGTCTTTGCATGCTTTAACCCAGCACAGAATTAGGAATTCTGTATGTTGGGTGTTCAGAAAACACCTCAATTTTATCCAAGTTACAAGAGGAGCATGGTTGCTCACCAGGGAAAGGGAAAAAGCCCTAACAGGCTTGAAGAAAGAAACTCTAAGACAAAATGTATAGCCCCTTGATTTTGTTGTTTTTAAAGCAGAATATCCATCTGTACAGGTGTCTCATGAGATTCTCTTGAGATGCACACGTAAAGCTGAACTCATCATATGCTTTGCTCCTTGCTTACAACCCAAACTTGGAAATGTTTGGTGGTTTGGTTGTTCACTACACCTCCTAATTTCCAAGCCTGCTGCTCAAGTGGAACAAGGAGTGGGCCAGCTTCCAGTCTCCCCTAATGAGGAGTATCACAACCTGTGAGCAGCCGCCAGCCAATTCCTTTCTTCCATTCCCACCACATATGTTTCTGGAAGTGATAGGGAGGTGGGCCTCCTCCAAAGATCTTAAAACCCGAATAGGATCCTATAGTGGAATATGGCCTTCAGGCCTGAGTTGAGATTGTGTAGGGCTTTATAGAATATAACCAGCACTTTTAAACTGTGCTTGGAAGCAATAGCCAGCAAAGGTGTTATAACAAGGGAGCTGCAGAAGAACAGCAACTTTTGCAGAAATAATTGTGACTACAGTGAAGAGAAGAAAGGAGAACCCTAGACTGAAATCCAGTAATAAATCACAACCAGAGTAGGCCTGTTGCCGAGTCAAAACTAGAGATGGGGGTAAAGGTAAAGGTTCCCCTTGACAATTCTTGTCCAGTCGTGTTCGACTCTAGGGGGCGGTGCTCATCCCCATTTCCAAGCCATAGAGCCAGCGTTTTGTCCGAAGACAATCTTCCCTGGTCACATGGCCAGTGCGACTTA